TTACTGCTTTGTTGGCTGGTTTTCTTTTTCTTTTAGCAGAAAAGTTAAAAGTTCATCAATACAGAGTTAATTAAAATGCAGAAGTCCCCTCATAACCACCAATTTCTAAATCCCTCCCACAGATAGTTGGATTTAATTATCTGCCTCAAACACTCATGTACTGGGGGAAAGACAGGTGCCAAGGGAGGAATGCTATAAAACCATAAAAATGGCCCTGGCTGGTATGGCTCAGTTGATTGGAGCATCATACCATACACCAGAAGGTAGTGGGTTCGATTCCTGATCAGGCCACATGCCCAACTTGTGGGTTTGATCTCCAATATCCAGTCAGAGGCACCTGTCCGCTCAATGTTTCTCTCACATCTATGTTTCTCTCTCTCTCCCTGTCTCTCTCCTCCCCCCGTTCCTCTCTCTCAGATTAATGAAAATAATAAATAAAATCAGAAAAATGGAAGATATCCACAACAATATTTAATTTTCCTAAAGTCAAATTAGCTTCTGAGGTGAGTACAAAGTAAAATAAGCACCCCCCCCCCCCTCCACCCCAGAACTCTTTGGAATCTGTTTTGCTTAAACATCAAAGTCCATCAAATTTTTCTTCAGGTTTAAAAACAAATTCAGCTTTAAAAAAAAATCTTAACCTCAGTTGCATGAGTTATTTATTTAACTGGAGACAGGACCCACCCCTCACCCTCCAACTTGGACAAACAGCTCTGTGTGATGTGGCCCTGGGGCTATAGTTCAAACATCTATTTTCAACTCATCACAGCTTCCCACTGTCCTGACGAAGATAGAATGGAAAGAAGATTTACTTATTTCTCACATACTCCAAGATGAAATCTTTTATAAAATTTCAGACAGATATGTATAATAAAGTAGTGAGCCTAAATTATCATTGATTTGTCTACTTTATTTCCTAATTTCTTTTTTTTTAAAAATATATTTTATTGATTTTTTACAGAGAGGAAGGGAGAGAGATAGAGAGTTAGAAACATCGATCAGCCGCCTCCTGCACATCTCCCACGGGGGATGTGCCCGCAACCCAGGTACATGCCCTTGACCAGAATCGAACCCGGGACCCTTCAGTCCTCAGGCCGACGCTCTATCCACTGAGCCAAACTGGTTTTGGCGATTTCCTAATTTCTGATTATTTTTGATTTAGTGATTTTTGTCTTAGAAGTGTAAGGGATAGAAATTAAAGCTACCAATATACTTCTAACTTTTCTCTCTTTTAAAAAAAAATACGTTCTTATTTATTTTAGAGAGAGAAAGGGAGAAGGATAGAGAGACAGAAACATCATGGATCAGCTGTCCCCCACCCCCTCTGTGGTCCCCCTACTGGGGATCAAGTTCACAACCTGGGCATGTGCCCTGACTGGGAATCGAACCCACAGCTTCTTGGTTCATGGGTTGACGCTCAACCATGGAGCCACACTAGCTGGGTGTAACTTTTCTCCCTTCAAACTACTCATTTAGAAAACTATGTGTAAGTCTGATGTCCACCCGAGTGTCACTCACAGGGAGCCTGCATAGTGAAATGTGGGGTGAACACACCATTGACTATGACAGAGCACTGAGATACATCCAACTAGACCCGGTTTCCCAAATGGCTGGACTTCATGACACTCTTAGAATCTCAACAATTATTTCACGGTACTCCTAGGACAGTGATGGCGAACCTATGACACGCGTGTCAGAGGTGACACGCGAACTCATTTTTTTGGTTGATTTTTCTTTGTTAAATGGCATTTAAATATATAAAATAAATATCAAAAATATAAGTCTTTGTTTTACTATGGTTGCAAATATCAAGAAAGTTTCTATATGTGACACGGCACCAGAGTTAAGTTAGGGTTTTTCAAAATGCTGACACGCCGAGCTCAGAAGGTTCGCCATCACTGTCCTAGGACAACAGAAATGCGGACAGTTCTGTTTATTAAGTAGTTAGGTGCAAACAGCTTATTATATCTAAATGCCCTAACAAGTTGGCAGCTGCTTGAAGAAAATAATACACGTAAGTTGGAGGAGAAAATATTTCATTTTTAATCAAAATGACTTCCCAAGGGGACGTGTGAGCCTGTGGGGCACTATGCAGCGTCTCAAATATTGGGGTCAGATGGGATACGCCATCCTTGTTTTCTGTTTCACTTTGATTTCCCCGCAGTACTAGTTCCTCACTGCAACCGCAGAAAGCACAGGGTGGCCAAGACAGGGTGGAACAGCCTAGAGAGGCATGCAGCACAATCTAATGCTGGGCTGGGAGCTGCCTCCCGTTAGCAGTGCCCGGGAGCCTGCCAGACGCTGAGTATCACTGTGTCTTCTTAGAAGAGCAAAAATATCCCGCAGCACCCTTATGGATTCCCTGCAGCTTCTCAGGCACGCGGTTTGGGAACCACAGGATTAGATATACATACGACAACAGGAACAAAGCCTAAAAACGGTGCTGCATAAAAGAGATCTGACAGACTGTGGCCTCTGGGGCACCCCGAGTCTGCTCTTGCAAGGTTTCCATGACCCGCCTCCTCACTGCTGACCGGGGGACAGGCTTCCACGCAGAGCCTGACCCTGTTGCGTGTCAGCTCCCAGGAAGGTCCTTCCATGGGCTTCCGTCGGCCCCCTCCCTCATGGTCTCTTCCTGCGCCTTGACTTGTCTTTTGCAGGTGCCTCTGGGGGTCTCCAGCTGTCCCACCCTGCATCCTTTCTACACAATCTAGGTCACTCCCTTCGGGACCTGCTGCTTATTTCCAAACCAGTGTCTTCAGCCACACATCCAACGGCTTGTTCACCATCTCTACTCAGACATCCACAGGCATCACAAGCCTTCCGTGTCCTGACTAAACTCACCTTCTTCCCTCCGGCCTGCTTCTCCACCTACGTCTCCTAACTCCAAGAACAGAGCCACGCTCATCTGGGCGTGGCCTGTGGCCGATGGCATGGGTGGCCACGGTTCTCCCTCCTCCCCGTGTCCCACCTTTGCCATGGTCTCATTCCCACCACTTGCCCGTGGGGGTCAGAGAGGCAGAAGTGCAGATGCCATTTCCAAGCCTAGACCTGCAGAGGCCTCACACGTTTGCCCTCGCCCTCTTACGCTCTGCTGCTTTAGGAGAGGGGCATGCTGGGAGTACTCTGCTGGTCCCAGGAAGAGAAAGATGAGAGACGCGTGCAGCAGAGCCACCCCAGCTGGCCCTAGTCTAGGTCAGCTCACCCTCTGCTGACCCGCTGACGTGTGAGGAACAACAAAAGATTGTTGTTCTAGCCACCAAGTTTGAGGGTGTTTTTATGCATCAACAGTTAACCAACCAGGTCACCCAGACCAGAAAACTGGGCGTTGTCCTTGACTTCCTCTCTCAGTCCACAGAGTCCCGGAGCTTCCGAAATATCTCTTGAGTCCATCTACTTCTCTCCATCCGTTAGCACCTCTGCCCTGGGTCAGGCCTCCTGCAACCACTTTGGAACCAATTTTCCCTTCCTCCCCTGGGCCCCCATTCTCCGAGTAGTATATTCAGTGCTCTTCCTAGTATGCAAATAGATCACGTGACTCCTCTTCTGTGGATGGGCTTTGCCCATTTAGAGCCTGGGTAAGAGAAAGAGCCCTGCTGGAGACCAAGAAACGTCGATATAAGAAATGTCCAAGCCAACGGCTTCCCAGAATCCCTCTACCACTGGGTGCCCCTTTTCAGGACGTCAACAAGGAAGACAATAGGAGAGGCACTGACAATTTGGAATTAAGAGATCTGTCTTCATTCCCTGCTAATGATCAGACCTTACGTAAGTAAATGGGCTTTCAGACCCCCAGTCTTCTCTGTGGCCACAGTGAAAGGGCTATTATATCAAGAGAAAGGATGAGTCACCAGAAAGGCAGAGGTGCCACAGCCCAAGAGGAAGGCACCCTCAGCAAGACAAGGCCTCCCTGCGAGGCCTTGAGACAGGAGCCTGAGAAAGAGCCTTCCTGTGTATTGCCACCGGCCTTCTCGCAAGGCTGCCCAGCAAACTGTCCTGTTTAGTGGTTAAATGTGGATTCTGGAGTCCAACTCACTGGCTCTGGGCCCAGCTCTGCTGTGATCTTGGGACTTGGGGCCAAGAGGCGGATCTGGGCTCCAGGCAGTTCAGCAAGAGAGAGCTAGGTAACTAGACCAGTGGTCGGCAAACTCATGAGTCAACAGAGCCAAATATCAACAGTACGACGACTGAAATTTCTTTTGAGAGCCAAATTTTTTAAACTTAAACTATATAGGTAGGTACATTGTTATGAACTTAATTAGGGTACTCCTAAGGCTTAGGAAGAGCCACACTCAAGGGGCCAAAGAGCCGCATGTGGCTCGCGAGCCGCAGTTTGCCGACCACGGAACTAGACCATTGCATCTGGGGGCTGGGAAGCTCCTGAGAGGAGCGCCTCTCCTAGGTGGGTGTTGGTAGGGACAGAAGGACATGGCCCGGTGGAATGAGGGGGAGGGAAGGTGTCCCCAGCTCCAGGAAGAAAGGGAGTTTCTCTACTGTAATCTCGGCGCTCTCTCCCCCTTCGCCATGCCCTGGCGCCTCAGGAGTTCTGGTTTTGGATACAGAGGTGGAATGTGGCACATGGGGAGACACTCAGATTGGCTGGGTCAGAACAGGGCCTGCTGGAGCCCACTGCCTCCAGCCCAGGGCACCTTTCCCTGTGACCCCTGAGTCACCCCCATGCGTGGGCATCTGTTCCAGGACCCAAGGTCTCCAGGCCGAGGGCCACGAGACATAGGCAGGGGCAAGCTGGCTTAAAGCTGGATGGGGAGGAGGGACAGGGTAGGGGGATTGGTGCGAGCGGGTTGCGCAGAGCGCGCCGGTCCCGTGCACTGGTTCAAAGTCCCAGCGTCCCAGCCCGGGACCGAGCGCATCCGCGCCCCGGTCGCCCGGCAGGTGGAGCCAGAGCACAGCCGGCGGGTGACTCGGTCCAGGAGTCCGGCCGGGCGGGGCGAGGGGCGGCCCCTGCGTCTCTGGGCGGCGGAGCGCGGCGACAGTCACGCCGCGGGAAGGACGGACGGGCGCGCGCCGGAGCCTCCGCGGCCATGGCCGAGCCCGCCGCTCGCCTCTGCTGCCTGGGCTGGGACTTCAGCACGCAGCAGGTACTGCCGCGGGGCCGGGGCCGGGGCCGGGCCGGCGGGGCTGGGCCGCCGCCTCCGCTTCGCCCGGCGGGTTAGTGGGGACCCCGGTGCGGGGACACCCAGGCCAAGCCGTGGGCGCACCTCCCTCTCGGACTAATCGGGGACCCGGCGCCCCTGCCCGAGGACGCCTTGCCCGTGATACCCCTCCCACCCCCACTCCCGCTCGCAAGACGCGGCAGCGATCTGGCCCGTACCCCGCCCCTCCCGGAAACGGCGTCCCCCTCCTTCCCCCGCGGCGGGATCCTGGGGGCGCGCGGTGGGGAAGTGCCCAGGGCGCGGCCACCGAGTGACAGGACCCCGAAGGTACTCAGCTAGTGTAAGAGGGGGCACAGGCGGACGGGTAGGTGAGCACACAGGCATAACCGGTGACCTGGAACCAGATTACCGCTTGAAATTTTTTTTTTGGTGAAATGGAACAACGTACCCTGAACTTTGTTCAAACCTTGGTTGGCACCAGCCCGCCTGGGTCAGCATGCCCAGCAGTGGTGACAGAGGACGGGCTATGCAAGTCCCCAGGACGCCATGGACAGGCAAGCAGTTAAAATTGGCCAAAGGCGCCCCTTCTTAACTTGGGGAATCAGCACAGTTGTAGTCAAACCTCTCTTCTCAGATGGACCAGTCCGCGAGCAGAAAGTCTTGTGGGACCCTGGGTAAGGCTGGTTGCATTAAGACCTCAGTTTCCCCATATGTCTGGGAAAGGAATTGCACCCCTGGGTTTGGAGGTCTGCTGCTTTGCGACACAGTCTGTCTCCGGACCACGGCCGTGCCCTGTGGGAACAGCCCAGGGGCCTTGCCTGGTCTCTCAGATCCCTGCAGACATGGTCCCCCAGAGGCATCTCCAAACCCTAGCCTGCCATTCCTTCGCCTCTAGGGCTTTCTCAGGCCTCCTGGCCAGGAATCAGCTCATCTGTGAACATTTTTCTCTAAGACGGTCTTGGCTTTGGGTGTTTGGCGGGCAGAGATTCCTTGAGCTACAAAGGTGTTTCAACGCAGTCTCAGCTTCATTGTACTAAATCTTGGGGCATGTCCCCAGGTGAGGCTCGGTTGCCATGGTTATGACAATGCACCCCAGCCTTCCAGAAGGTCTCCAGGTTGAACCACTCACTTCACCTGATGAAGTTTGTCCCTGGCCCCGCGTAGCAGCTGAGGGAAGTTCTCTACCCCATCTTCTCGAATGCTTTGCAGGTGAAAGTGGTTGCTGTCGATGCAGCGATGAATGTCTTCTATGAGGACAGTGTGCATTTTGACAGAGACCTTCCAGAATTTGGGTATGTACCTCGTGTGCATGTTTCTCTGTGTGTCGGGTGTTGGTTTTGGGGGGCCCCCATTCAACCTTTAACATCCATAAACTTACTATTCTGGCTTCATCCAACTGCAGGAGTTGTGGTCTTTAGCACCCCTTTTTCTAGGCCTGGAATGCTCCCTCCTCCATTCCTTTGCAGTTCCATTCATTCATCCATTCATTCATGCATATAAGCAGTAGATACCAATCAAGACTTTGCATCAGGTACTGTGCTGGGTCTGAGAATTTTATATAAAGGGAGTCATATACTCTTTTTTAAAATCTGACATTTTAATCTACACTAATAAAAGAGAAAGATGCAAATTGACTGTACCTTTGTGATGCCCACCAGCAAATCAGGAATGAGTATACAAATTAACCCAAACAAATATGGCAGGTTAATTTGCATACGTGGGCCTGAGTGGCGGGAGGAGGGGGCGGGGCGGGATGCAGGCATTCCGCACTGTCCTAGCCGCTCCGGGCCTCTGGGCAGCGTGGGAAGGCAGAAAGGTGGCTCCGGGCCTGAGCGAAGGCAGTGCCGGCAGCAAGGGGAAGGAAGGCCCATTCTTGTATGAATCTTCATGCATCGGGCCTCTAGTTCAATACAATCATTTTGAGATTCATCCATGTTTATCAGTAGTTTGTTCTTTTTATTGCTCAGTAGTATCCACTGTATGAATGGATCACAATTTGTCCGTTCACCTGATGGGAGACATTTGGGTTGTTCCCAGTTTTTTATTATTATAAATAAGGAGGCTGTGAAGTTCACATACGTGTCTTGGTGTTGACATAAGCTTTCATTTCTCCTGGAAATGAAATACCCAGAAACGGCTCAGTTGTATGGTAGGTGTATGTCTAACTTTTTAAGAAATTGTCAGTTCTCTTCCAAAGCGGTTGTTTTAATAAAAATGTTTTGTTAATAGGCATTGCCTGTAGTTGGTGCATCATTCAAAAGAAACAAAAGGCCTACATTGAAAAGTTTTAATCCCTCTATGATCTCATCTCTTCCCTCCTGGCCTCTTCTACTTCTTTCGTTAGTTTTTGGTGTATCCTTCCAGAGTTTCATATGGAAATATTAGCAGATAAGAATATTCTTATTTTCTCCCATTCTTACACAGAAAAAAGCATACCATATATAGCATTCTGTACTTTGCTTTATTCATTTCACAGTCACTTACCTGTGTTTTCCATGTCAGTACGTAGAACTGCTTTGTTCTTTTTATGCATTAGATGCATTAGAGACCCAGTGCAAGAAATTGTGCGAGACCCAGACCCGCCCTGGCAAGCTGCTGGCCCCGCCTCCACCGCCCCAGCCCCACCAGCCCCGTGCGAGCCTGGCCCGCGTGCGAGAGGTGCTCCATGCACCTCCTGATGACCAGTTGTTTGCTTGTTCCGCGGTTACGGCGTGACGACCACAGGCCTTTTATGATATAGATAATATTCCATTGTGTAAATTTACCATCTCTTATATAAGGATATTGGGTTGTTAGCAATGAAAAATGATGTAGTGAATTACCTACATATGCTATTACAGCTATGTACTAGTGTATCTGTAAGACAAAATTTTGGAAATAGGATTGCTGGATCAAAGAGCAAATAGATTTATAATTTCGGAAGGTGTAGCCAAAGTGCTCCCCGTAGGGATTGTATTGATTTGCAACACCACCAGCAATACGTGAGAGTGTTTCCCACAGCACTGCCAATTCAGGGTGGCCATAAAAGCAATTGTGAATGAAGCTGAGCATCTTTTCATCTGTTGAAGATCTACTCGAATTTCTTTTTTTCGTGAAGTTATTTTTCATGTCCTTTGCCCATTTTTCTGTTGGATTGGTTATCTATTTCTTATCAATTTCTAGGAGCTCTTCACATATTAGAGGAATTATCTCTCTTGTTACATGAATCACAAATATGTTTCTCAGATTTTTGTTTGTTTTGACTTGTGTATGGGTTGTTGCTGTTGTTGCCATACGTGGGTCTTTGTTTTCTATGCCACTGAATTTCTCCATCTCTTCCTATTCTAGATGTTGAGTCATACTTTAAAAAGCCTCCCTTACTCAAGATTATGAAGGAATTCACTTGTGTTTGCATCTAGTTCTTATAAGATTTCGGTTTTCCAATATAAAAGTATTTGGGAGTTTCTTTAGGTACATGGCATGACATTTCTACATACACTTAATTTTTTCCCAGATGACTCTTCAGTGGTTTAACATAATTTTTTTAGAAGCCCATCATTACCTCACTGATTTGAGATACCAGCCTTAACATATGCTCAATTTCTCTGTGTGTTTAGGTCTATTTCTGGGCATTTTCTTTGGCTTGATTGGTTAGTGTGTCTGCTCATGAGCCAGTAACACATCGTTTTAATTATTCCAGCTTTAGAATAGGATTTAATATCTGCAATTGTTGGTCCTCTCTGATTGTTCTTCTTTTTCAGTTTCCATGGCTACTCTTTCTCGTCCTTAATTGATGCTTACTTTAGAATCAGCATTTAATGTTCCAGAAAGCAAAGTTATTAATATTTTTATTGAGATCACATTACATTTATAAATTAACTTGGAGGGAACTGACAAGAGGTCAGGTCTTCCTGCCTAAGCTCAGACTGTGTTTTCCCATTTGCTCAGTTCTTTTGAGCACTTCATGTATATCTTAATATGCTTAACATACGGATTTTGCACATTGTGGTGTATTGCAGAAATGACCATAATCCTCCATGCCTCCCTGTACCATGCCCTTTGCTATGTGACTTTGCAGCTCCTTTCATTAAGAGATGGAGTCCTTTCTCCACCTGTTGATTTTAATCAGTAGAACATGGGGGAGGTAACATTGTGCCAATTCTAACCCCAGCCCTCGATAGGCTTTGCGTGCATCTACTCTCATTCTTGGAATCCTGTACAGCCACCACATGAACAAGCTCAGGCTAGACTGCTGGAGATTGAGGGACCTGTGGCCTCATTGCCCCCATATCCCCAGCTAAGAGAAGCAGAATTCAGCCTCCAGAAGCAGAGCCCTCTAGCTACAGTTAACTGGCCACAGATGCATGAGTGAGACCAGAAGAACCAACCAGCTGAGCTCAGCCCAGTGACTGACCAACAGAAGTGTGAGCTAAGTAGTTTCAAGCCATTACGTTTTGAAGTGGTTTGTAATGAGGCAAAAAGCACCCAGTGCACGTAGTTATTTTAAATCTTATTTCTAATTAGTTTATCATTTTGGATGAGGGTCTTGCAGGGGTGAGGAGGAGCGGGAGAGGGTTCCAGGTAACCTTCCACAGATTGTAATCCAAGGACTCGGTCTGATAGCCAAGAACTTTTCTCACAGGTCCAGCTCCTCCTGCAGCCACACCTTCCCCTCTCCAAATGCAATGGATTTGGGAGGGCTTCTCCTCCAACCCCGTGCTCCCCCAGTCCCTTCTTGATCAAGTAACACCAGTGCCTGCCTTCCAAGGCTTGCTTTTGCTGGTGCTTTCTGAGAATTGCCACTCTGGGCAATTTTCATGGTTTCTCTTTCCATCTCACTCAGCATTCACGCCTGTTCAATCTAGCGTCCCCTCTTAAGGTTGGAGGAGGGGGAGTTTCTGCCTCCACCGGAGTTACCCAGGATCTGCTGCCGCTGGGCCCCTGCCCCAGCTCTGTCCCTCATTCTCTCTTGTTCTCCTTGTAGGACTCAGGGTGGAGTTCATGTTCACCAGGATGGTCTGACAGTGACTTCTCCAGTCCTGATGTGGGTCCAGGTGAGCACAGGGATCCCTGTCCCTCTCCTGTCCCCTGCCTGCCTTACCAGCAGACCTGGTGACTTGCTAGGAAGCCCAAAGGTGGCAGCTCGTGAGAACATCTGTTGAGGCCAAGTCCTCACGGGGAACTGGAGGCCATGTGGTTCCTAGGGCCAGGCCCGGCCTCTGGGTTCGGGAGCCATAGCAGCTGGAAAGTCCAGCCAGTCTCCACCTTCCAGATACCACAGAGCAGACCTTTCCAAAATACTCAGGCCTGTGACCACCCTAATGCCCTGAGATCCACACACACAGCCTTGGGTTCTTAGTGCTCGGTCCCCAGACCCCTCCTCTCCCGGAATGGTGGCTGGTGACCTGCCCCATCAGGTTCAAGCAGGCCTGCCCACTCAAGACCAATGAGAACGGAAGATGCCTGTTGCCAGATCCAGGTGACCCATGGGGCCACAGGACCGAGGGTGTGGACCGCACAGACAGGCAGGACCGGGCTGGGAGCTGCCTGATACGCCACAGGTGACGCGAAGCCCTGAAACGGGAGGCCAGCCAAAGGCAGAACTGAATGTGTCTGCCCAAAGCTTTTTCAGTCCTCCAATACCCGTCTGACCAAATTCCTGTAGGAAATTCTTTCTGTTGAGATAACTAGTCTGATTTCTTATTGATCAGCCTAGCCCTGACTCACACTGGAGGACTGGTGTCAAGGATGACTTTCCAGCCGTAACCGGTTTGGCTCAGTGGATAGAGCGCCGGCCTGCGGACTCAAGGGTCCCAGGTTCGATTCCGGTCAAGGGCATGTACCTTGGTTGCGGGCACATCCCCAGTAGGGGGCGTGCAGGAGGCAGCTGATCGATGTTTCTAACTCTCTATCCCTCTCCCTTCCTCTCTTTAAAATATCAAATATATATATATATATATATATATATTTTTTAAAGGATGACTTTCTACCAGGCAGGCTGGCCAAAATGTGCTTCAGAGGGCTGAGCCAGACCGCGGGGCAGTGGTGGAGGGGTTGGAGGTGACAGGCAAGAGTTGGTGTCTAGAGGTCCCAGTGACGAGGTCCATGCCTTGATTTGGGGGTGAGCAGTGGGTAGAGAGCCAGGCTGGGGGTTGGGGGTGGTTTGGGGGTGGTTTGTAATTACGAGCAGCCTCTAGGATTGGACAAGCTCTAGTTTTGCCCATCCTTGCCCCAGCTGCACCACACTCCCTGCAGGGGGTTGGCAGGCAGAGTTAGAGTTGACAGCCACAGCCAGGATTGTGAAAGGAGTCCTCCCTGCCCTGGGTGGGATGGCGGGGTCAGCCAGGAGCTCAGGTGCTTCTCTGCCCACAAGGAAATCCCTGCCTGTGGTGACTCTCTAATTCTTCCTAGGAAATCTTAGGGGAAGTGTCGAGCTCTGCTGGGCACTGCCATCTGTGCCCCCCGGGGGGGTCTTGCGAGGAAGAAGATGCCAACTGGAGGGTGGATGGTGGAGGGGTTGGGATAAACGGCCAGCTGCTGCCTACTGTCCCTCCCGCCGGAACATGGGGACTGTGGGCCTGGAGCCCCTTCTGGTGGGAGCCCTCTGCTTTGCTTTTCACTTCTCCATGGCAGTGAAGTGACATCATCAGTATGGTGGGTCGAAAACACAAATCAACGAAACCAACATTTGAGCCGCCTTGCTTTCTCTCTTCCCGAGTGCTTGGACGTCACACATTGCAGAAGCAGAAGTTAAGGATTAGTGGTTAGCGCTTCCGTTTTTCCAAAATAGTTTTGGCCTAGCCCTGGCCAGATGGCTCAGTGGGTTGGAACATCACGCTGTACATCAAAAGGGTGCGGGTTTGATTCCAGGTCAAGGCACACACATACCTAGGTTACAGGTTTGATCCCCAGTCGGGGCGCTTACCAGTCCCTGTGTCTCTCACATCCATGGTTCTCTCTCATTCATTGTATCCGTTCCTTCTTCGTCACCTCCGCTGTACTGGCAAGCCCTTCCGTGTCAGTTCTGAGGCTTGTGTGGTTGTCGGGTTCCATGGGTCGCTACAGTCACGGTGCATTCTGTTTTCTTCCCAGGCTTTGGATATCCTCTTGGAGAAGATGAGGGCTTCGGGCTTCGACTTCTCTCGAGTCCTCGCCTTGTCTGGGGCAGGCCAGGTCTGTCTGCAGCAGCCCGCACGGACCACACGAGGGCAGCTGTCTAGGGCAGGGGAGCCGGTGCCGAGGTGCCCGCTCCCCGAGAGGGAGGGTGCTCGTCCTTGAGACCCACTGACACATTTCATTGTTCTGTAGCTGTTTTGCCTTGGAGGGTATATGGCTTGGCTCCTTGCAGAAGGATCTGAGACAGTTCTTACGATTGCGCAAATAGGACAGTGGGTGAGGAGGAACGAGGGGTTGGAGGGATTGACATGAATTTGTGATGACTGGGGCACAAAAATGGCTTTTCTATTTCCTGGAGGTAAAACCAAAGGCAGAAATTATACTAACAATGGTAGCAGTTTCAGTAGTAGAGGTACTACTACTACCACTACTAACCATGAATGTGTGCTGGCCGCAGTGCCGAGCCTATGATGTAAGTTATCTGAGTCCTCATACCATTTCTACGAGGTGGGATCCCGGAGTGGTCAGCACAGGGGTTCCGGCACGCTGCCTGGTTTGATCCCCAGCTCTGCCATTTTCGGCGGTGACCTGGGACATGCCATCCAGCTCTCTGCTGCCTCCTCACCCTCATCTGTCATAGGCTCAATGTGAGTGTTAAATGCGTGAAATTTAACTGTGCCAAAGTATGTAAAATCCTTAAGCTTAGCTACTACTTTTATTGTCATTGCCATTGACATCGGGGGGGGGGGGGAGGATTGGGGCACAGAGAGGCGATGTCACTTGTCTAAGGTCACTTCGCTCCCTGCTGGATTAGCCCTCGTTAGGGTGTGCTCACTAACTTTTCAGAAGACGCCCCTTCCCCCTGACTGGACAGGAATTGATTGCTCTTGTCCTTGTTAAACTAAGCAGATTCCCTGGGTGCTCCTGTCTGCTCCTCACCTGACCCCGGGCCTAGACACCCTCTCCCTGCTAGGCATCCCCTTCACCACTGTGGCCGAGTGCCTATGACCACCGCAAACGTACCACGACCCAGACTGAGCACCCATCTGTCCCCATACCTCTTCCTCGGGCTCCCTGCCTCAGGTGTCATCTTCCCACCCCCACATCCAAGGGTCCCCACGTTGCTTTGTACACGACTCCTGAATCTACCACCTCTTCTCCAACTCTGCTTCTGTTGCCCAGGCCTAGTGCCATCACATTCCTCTGGGCTTTGGCTCCAGCCTCCCTACCTGCAGCCAACCTTCTCCAGCGTTCCCACGGGCCCGTTCATACATTCGGCCCTGCCACATCCCCCTAAGCCAGAGTCCCCACACCTCCAGGACGAACCCCAACCTTCTGAGCATGGGCATCTTGGCCCTGATGCTGCCGCCTTCCCCTCCAGCCCCATCACCCACCTCCTGCCCCAGCTCAGGCCCACTGCTTAGGATGCCGCCCTTCCCTCCATCTGGCCCTCCTGTCTGTTCCCACAGCCCTGCCTGCACCGCCAGGGTTTTCGGATTATACATGTGTATCTTCTTTCCTGACTCAACCTCAGTGTCCTGCAGAATAGGGACAGTGCTGTCTGATGCATCTCTCCTCTGCCTGGCATGATCTAGGGGCTCAGTGTTTGTGGAATGAATGGATGGGGAAGGAGGGGTGGGGAACGTCTGGCCCGCAGGCCGTAGAAGGCCTGCAAAATCATTGGGTCGGGCCCCGCCAAGGCATTAGGGGTGAGCTAACTAAATGTTCGACCAAATAGAGCAGGCTAATTTTTAAGTTGATAATTTTGTGTGGCCTGAGAATGAAGTTATTAATATCCAAATGGCCCTTGGCGGGAAAAAGGTTCCCCACCCCTGGAAATGAATGGATGAGTGAATTTCAGGTAATATTCTGAGCAATATACTTAAATCCAGTTTTACAAAAGCACCAATATCCAGACTGACCGTTCGTTCTTGGAGTCTTCCTACAAGTTGTGAGGTGGACGGGGCAGAGTTCCTCCCCATTGTATAGACCCGTGGTCGGCAAACTGCAGCTCGCGAGCCACATGCGGCTCTTTGGCCCCTTGAGTGTGGCTCTTCCTAAGCCTTAGGAGTACCCTAATTAAGTTAATAACAATGTACCTACCTATACAGTTTAAGTTTAAAAAATTTGGCTCTCAAAAGAAATTTCAATCGTTGTGCTGTTGATATTTGGCTCTGTTGACTAATGAGTTTGCCGACCACTGGTATAGACAGGAAAACCGAGGCTCCTGAAGAGGATGAGCTCTGTGGAGCCCAGTTCTTTGTGTGTGGTCTGGGGGCTTTCTGTGCTTTCTGTGTCTCCTGAAGGCTGTGACACCAGTGTGTGGCCTAATGAGCGTGTGCTTGGCTTTCCCTGGACAGCAACATGGAAGTATATACTGGAAAGCTGGGGCCAGTCGGGTGCTGACAAGCCTGTCACCAGACCTCCCGTTACACGAGCAGCTGCAGGTAACTGGCCAGGATGGGGGAGTCTAAGAGGGGAAAGGAAGGCCCTGAGGTGTGAGGCTTTGAGCATTGTCGGGGTGTAGGAAGGTGGCTTGGGTGGTAGTCCTGTGAGTCGGGTCTGCCCTGCC